GGCTTCATTACTCTGCTCTCCTCCCCACTGAGAGCTGGTGTGTGGGGAGCGTTCTGGTGCACTATGGCTGCCGTCGCATCATCCAGGTGGGGCTGCACATTGGTGGGGGTGGAGGGGATCCCCATTACCTGTAAAGCGCTTTGAGTGGAGTGTCCAGAAAAAGCGCTATATAAGTATAAGCAGTTATTATTATTATTATTATTATTAACTCCTGCACAGCTCCCTCTAGTGTTTCAGCACCAGTCTGCAGAGTTTCAGACGCAATCTGGGCCAGACAGCTGCTTCTAGCATTCCAGAACCTGTCTCTACTGGTCACCACTTCACTCAGAACAAACTGTCCTTATAGAATCCGGCGCTGGTACTGATCGATTAGTACTGATCAATTAGACCAAGGTTCCCTAGTGATCTCTGACCAAAGACTCCTAGTGGGATTCTCAGCCCAGACAGAGCCCATCCCAGCAAAGATGGAGAGCACAAGCATGGCACATGGACAACACGCAGACTCCACACAAACACACAGCTCGGGCCAGAGCCCAGCTACCCCGGGACCTGGCCATTTCAAAACCCTCTGACCGGAGCGGCAAGACCAGCCCGGCTCTGCCCCGGTTCTACACACAGCGGCCACGGGGGGGCAGCAGTGGGCTGGTAAAAACGGCGTCTTCAGAGAGGAAAGCTCCACGTTTCAGCTGGTGCCGCTGTGGAAGAGAAGCCGAGCACCTCCTTCAGCCCGTCAGAAGGCAGACGGGCCCCGGAGCTCAGGCCCGGATCAGGATGGGCAGAGATCCAGAGCAGGAAGGAGAGCTGGCAGCCACTTGCAACAAACAGAGCTAAAAACCGTGCTGCTCCGTACGTATCGCCCACAGAAACTGGAGCCCTGGACCGAGCGAGACAGCGCGCTGTAGAGGGCTATCCGATCGACAGCCGTGCTGTACCAACTCGTGTGAAATTACAGGAGTTTCACCATGTGGCATTATTTCGATTGCTCCAGGCGCTGTGCGTGACCCCTGAAGTGTCTTTAAGAGTCTCGACACACTGGGTGGCACCTGACCAGTGTCGACATCTCCAGGTCTCACGAGCTTCGAGGCGAGAGGATGTTCCCCGAGATGTCGGGGGGGTCGAGAGTCAAAGGTCAGAGCATCACCGATCTCAAAGCCGCCGTGGAGCTGACTTGGCCTCAGGCCTCAGCTCTGGGTAGATGATGAAGTCAATCACCACTCGGGGAACAGGCATGAAACAGGCAGACAGGAGAGAGAGACGGGAGGGACACAAGGCATCTGAAGCTGGTCTGTTAGTTATCGGAAGCTGGTCTGTTTGTTATCGGAAGCTGGTCTGTTAGTTATCTGAAGCTGGTCTGTT